GCCCGCTCAGAGATGTGTATAAGAGACAGTTTTTAATTTATTAAATTAAATTTTTTTTAAATCATGAATACGTTAGAGATAATACAACTTGGATTTTGTTTGTTTAATTTGAGACAATAGTATTTTCGGGGTATATTAATTACAAAATAATTTTCCGTGATTGTTATATATTGAAGATAATGCCACTTAGGTTTTTTTATAATTTAATAGTTTTTTTTTCGAAGTTGTATTATATATTTAAGATGATACAAAGGTCTCATTTTTTTTAATCTAATACAATTTTTTCGAGGTAAAAACGTTAAAAAATATACTTGGCGGTTTTTTTACATTTTTAATGTCTTTTCCACGGATTATTTTTACGAGAGCCGACAAGGGCAACATAACTGTGGCATTAAATAATAATGATTACATTAGTAGAATTTCGGACATGCTAAAAGATGAGGAAACATATGAACGAGTTAAGGGCAATCCGGCTATCAAACTTACAAATAAACTACGGGAGATTCTCACACGTTAGCGCAGACTTGAATACATAGATTCGACAACGTATAATAGGATATTTTGCGGTGACAGAGTACTACCAAGGGCCAAAAATTCACAAACCCGAGCTCCATTACAGATTGATCATTTCCTCTGTAGACAGCCCTCTACAAGGCTTTGCATCCTTCATTCAAAAAATACTAAAGAAGAATATCCCTAAAGCTACTACACTGCAAATCCAAGTGTGTAAATCTGTAGTCGCTTTTTACGCATTTATACGCGTGTTATATTTTTACACATTTTATCTGTGTTTTACACAGTTAAATGCGTATTTTTTACACGCTTGCACATATTACTGTAAAATTAAGCGTGTAAAAATACGCATTTAATTGTGTAAAACACAGATAAAATGTGTAAAATATAACACGCGTATAAAGTGACTACAGATTTACACACTTGGATTTGGAGTGTAGTCACATTGAAAACAGCTTTCAGTTACTCGACAAATTAAGAAAGATCAAATTGATGGACAACTTTGTTTTAATATCGTTAGATGTTGTATCATTATTCACTAACATTCCATTAGACTTAGCAATTGAAAGTGTGAATAGGAGATGGAATGATATATCAAAAAATTGCAAGATACCGAAAGGGGAATTCTTTACTGGCCTAGAACTTGTTCTCAATTCCACATTCTTTACCTTTGATAACATAACATACAGATAAAAGTTTGGGACACCCATGGGCTCCTTTACGTCCCCCCCCCTCCCCCCGTTGCGGATTTAGTACTACAAGATATAGAGGAGAGTGTACTAAGGACAATAAGGGCTTTAGGGATTGAAGTGCCGGTCTACTACAGATATGTGGATGACATAATGTTAGCGGTTCCACAAAAAGATGCCAATAGGGTACTAGATATTTTTAAATCGTTTCACCCCAGATTACAATTTACTTTGGAATTGGAGGGAATGTTTTAAACTTTTTGGACGTAACAATCATCAAGAATAACGATAATTTGGAATTTGACTGGTACCGGAAACCCACGTTTTCGGGCAGGTATTTGAATTTCCTATTGGCTCACCCTGCATCACAAAAAAGAGCGGTGATTATGGGCGCCCTAAATAGAGCCTTCTTGTTGTCAGATCCAAAATACCATGAAAAAATCATTAATTTCATTATAAAAACATTTCTAGAAAATGATTATCCTCTCAAGTTTATCATGAATGCAATTAACATCAAATTAAAAACGCTTTTGAATAGCGCTGAAAACAAACGAGTTAACAATCTAACAACGAATGATAATAATACAACAATAGAAACAGAGAATAATAAAATTAAATGGTTCACAGTTCCTTTCGTTAAAAAGATCTCTGACAAATTTAACAACATCTCGGGAAAATTTGAAGCAAAACCAGCCTTTTTAAGCATTAATAAACTTGAGAGAATCATCAAAGGGCACAAGAAAAAAATCCCAGTGGAAAAGAAACAGTTTACAAAATCAGTGGAAAAGAATACAGTTTACAAAATTGTAATGACTGCAATGTAATGACTACAATGTAATGACTGCAATTGTAATGACTGCAATGCATCCTATGTGAGCCAAACAAAGAGGCAATTAAAAAAAAGAATTGCCGAACATAAAAATCACATCAATCGTAACACAGACACACAGTCAGTAATTACGGACCATAGGTTACAATGCGGTCACGATTTCAACTGGGATAACGTACAAATTCTTGATATAGAAAGAAATTTGAATAAACGACTAATAGCAGAAATGCTACATATTAAATTGCAAAGAGCAGGCCTAAATTTGCAAACAGATACCGAATACCTGCACCACTCAAATACAGCAATTCTGGAAAAATTCCAAAATCAATTATAGTAACGATTATTGGTGTCAAAAATACGATTTAATGCGTTAGGTAACTGAGTTCTGCGCCGTCTCTACTGTGTATACAACATTTACTGTTTTTACCCCAAAATGTTTTTTGCCTTTGCGGTTTCGATGTGTAAGTCGACTCAGAATATCAGTACGTGTCAAAGACAGCCGAAGAACGAACACTAAATGTGATATAAGTATAAGAATTGTTAAAGTTTTATCCATTGGGACAATATGATATTGACTTGCTACACACGGGTGAGTACACAATTTCCTGCCTCCTAAATCTAACAGCTTTTTTAAAAGTTAAAACTCCTACAATTTAGATTACGATACTTTCTCACGGAAAATTGGAGAATCATCTCTGTGGAGCATTGATGTTAACTGTAACTACAATTAATTTGCGCTGAAGATGGCTTGATAGAAGCCGAAATGTTCGCAAAGGACTAAATGTAACGGATATTGGAATAAATCATGAATATATACGCTCCAAGAACTGCGTTGGACTTTTAACTGCCTGTTTTTACCTATTTAATGATAAATAAAATAAACTTAATGGGTCCAAAATAAAATAGTGCCAGTACCCTCTCGTTTTTTCCTATTTTCCACGCATATATATTGTTACGTCCTGAGAACTCTACGATTCTTTTCTTTCGTGGAAAATGTCAAAGTCAGCCGCCCGAAACGGGAAGTCGATTAGCGGCGACTATTTTATTACGTGATAGATTTAAGATTTCCTGCGTTCTAAGAAGCGGACGCGCGAGAGCTTTCAATTAGCGCAAAACTCGGCGGCTCCCGACAATCAAAGGAGCCCGACCGGGATTCCAAGTATATACATATATGTCTTCTCTGGGCGACTCGACTCTCTCAGATCTCGGCAGTCAATTTAGTATTTTTCACGCTGTCATTTTAACGGGCGGAAAAGAACTTAGAATCTGTGCGCGGTTGAAAATCGAGTGCCTAAGATCGCTCCTGGAGAGAAAGAGAAGTCCCGCGCAACCGGCCACCGAGACCCCAGCGTGAGCCTCTGCCAACCTCCCCAGCTCCCCCTCGAGTTACAGCAGGTAGTAAGTCATCATGTTCTTATTTTAACCGGGATTAACCATTAACCGTGATTTGTCTCAAATCGATCTCATCCTCAGTGCGTCGCGGACAAAATTTAAATGTCCCACCGCGGCCCCCGCGACTCGCAATCAATCCGTGCTTTTCTTCTATAACTTTTTCCCCCCTCTATCGCCACGCTGGAGGAGCTCGTTGAAGAATGAGTACGCCAATATAAATTACACATACATACAGATACATACATATGGGAGCGTCCCGTTTGACCACGTCCCGATTGACTACAGCCACTCACAGCGGCCGGTGCCTAGAGGTTTTCCACTGTTCAAGCGCTGTGAGTGGCTGGTGGTCAATCGGGACGTGGTCAATCGGGTATCACCCCATACATATATATATATATATATATATATATATATACATATATATTAGAGTGATCCTTATTTACTCTTATGTATTTTTAATTTATGCACTCTGGTATTCGTTTTATTTAATAAAAAAATATAGTAATAGACATTTCAGCTTGTCAAATACTCATTTTATCGTTAAGATAAAATGAGTATTTGAAAACCAAAGTACTATTAATAAAAAAATCAACAACTTTGTGAACATATTTCTTCAGTGAAATATATTACATTAAATAATACCTTTGCAAGCTTTTGCAAAGCGTAGACTTTTGAAAGCTGTCGTTTTCTTAAAACCAGTAAAAGTACAGTCCACAAAGACATCGTCATCCGCGGCTTCCTTTAATATGTTATTGGCACGAGCAGTCCAGCCACCAATGTGGCTAAGATACGAAACCTGGAATGAATACAGCTAAATATTGAAAACTGTAAAGAATTTATTTATAATGTTATATAGGTAAAATATTATTCCCGAGAACTGAATTTAAATGTTTAATTAGGAAATTCATTTGGCGATTGATTTAAAACAGTAAACAAAATTTAGAGTCGTAAAAGTGTTTTTTTTTTACATCTATATATATTGTTGTTAAGAAAATGAAACCACATTT